GGGCAGTGGGGGGCCGCGCCGCCCACGAGCGGCGGGCCAGTGTTCCAGTTGGACCCGCGGGATGCCGAGCAAGGGTGGCCCAGGTTTGGCAGCGGCACCGGGGAGATGTTCGGCTTTGGCGGCGCCGACGGTGACGGCGTGATCGACGAGGGCTGCACCTTCGACGAGCGCGAGTGGGGGATTGAGAGCCTCGGGCCCGCGATATGATGTGTGCGCAGCCTCGCCTCGGCTTTGGTTGCGGCGCCCGCGAATGAGCACCCCGCACGGCGCTCGCGGCGCAGCCCGGCCCGCCGGCCGCGGCCGCTCTCCCTAACATACGAGTGTGCCGCTGCCACCCAGGCGCTGTTTTGGGCTTCCCTTTCCCCGCACAACAAACGCAGCCGCGGCCGCCTCTAGGTGCACGCCCGGGCCTCGCCGCTCGCCGTGCCCGGGCACACAGTGGGCCCGCCGGTTGGGCGTCCCCCGGGGCGTGCCGGCCCGCGCTTGCCTTTCCCCCGAATAATCCGTTGATATCACCCCCGGGCGCACGCAGCCGCTCCCCACAGGCCCCGTGCGCCGCCGTCCGCTCACCTTTGAGCGCGCGGCGCTCACGTTGGGAGCCTCACACGACAGCCACAACAGGCTGCGGGGGCCCCGGGCCGCGACGCCAGCTGGCAGCCCCTAGCAGCCCTGAGTCGCGGGCTGTGGCCCCCTGCTGGAACTTGTTTTTTCAACTGCGCCCGTGTTCCTTCAACTGCTGTATGGTACTCTCTCGCGAATCGAATCTTTCGGCAAGGCCCGATTACCACTGCTCGCGCCTAGGGTGTCAGGGTCGAGCGCCGCGGCCGTCTCCGGACAGCCCAGCGCGACCCGCTGTCCTGCGTGCTTGCCGCGGCTGCGGCGCTGCAGCCCGCGGCGTTGCCACGCGCGTCGTCTATCTGTACCGGCCGGCTACTCTTGCCGCGCGACCCGTGAACTGAATTTCCCCTGCTGCTGGCGTTTGCAATTGTTGTTGCGGCGGGCTTGATGCGCGCAAGGGCACACGGACTGCAAAATCACACACTCTCGGGCAGCTGCACGCACGATGCCCAGATGGAGGCACCTACGTTATACGCAATGTGTTGCCGCCACACGTCTTCCTCCCGCTTTTCCCCGCGCTTGAGCCCGGCGTCTGCTTTGCCGTGCGTCAGGTGCGCAGTGATCTCGGAGCGCTGCAGGCGTCCAGCCTCTGCGCACCAGCGCATCCGCTGTCGCGGCACGCACCCAGCTCGTGAGTCCCTGGGCGCGAGATTTCGAGCCCCACGCAGCCCTTTCGCGGCGACGACGGGGCCTTGCGCCACAACAAACAGCTGCCCCATGCCATTCTGGGCTGTCAGTTTAAAACATATTATTTGCAAGCAAAGCCACCAAGGGGGGGAGAGTCAATTCACATTGCGTCATCCCATGCAGCACTGACCGCCGTCCCCTTTGACAGCTCGAGGACGTACTTGCCTCTGTAACAAACGCTTTTGATCTGCTGCAGCTGCTGGAGTACATGTTTGCATAAGTGTATATACATACACGCCAACAGACTTTTGACTGGCGCTGCGCAATCTGAGGAGGGTGCATTGCCAGTCGCCACAACTCCCAAAGGCATGTAGCATAGGCCACAACACAGCGTCAAGTTTCATGGATGGGGAGAACAGGCTATGGCTGGTGTAGTCTGCTCAAGTTGTCAAGTTGCGGGGG